GTCCATACCTACGCCACTGACCTCATATCACCGTTTTTTGCGAGCTAGCTCCCTCACTAAATCATCGAGTCCCCACCATCCACTTCATCTTCGCACCCGACCCTCCATCAGCCTCCACACTCCCATATCTAATTTGCTAGTGATGATGCACTGTGATATTGTTAAGTAAATTACCGACGACGGGTAAACAAGAGGATGATTATGTATCAGTATAAATTAAAGCTCTGTCCAGATTATCAAATTTTGTTTGACAAAAAGCTGTTGAATGCCCATATATAGTCATGATGTGCATGTATGGTAATGATGTGATGTCATCATGACCATATTTAGGCATGTCACATGTTTTGCCAAATAAAATTTGATAGTCTGGACAGTGCTTAAGATACATATTTGTATTTTGACTGAATATGTTTATTCAAGAGGAAAGCAAATGTATTGTGTACGATGATTACAACATTACGTAGGTGTACCTTACCGTATAATGAAATCTGATTTGTCTATATCCGACCCACATCTACTATTTGTGAGAATGCCACTATTACCAACCAGGCTGCATCTCGTGTAGTTTCCAGTAAACGGTGAATTCTATTGTTTGAGAACATAAAGGAAGACCAAAGTATTGATTTTGACAATATTTAATAATTTAATTCTAATTTATTCAGCATTGGCAAATTATCAGCTGAGTATTCACTGAAATTACAATAGGCTTAAATAACGATAAATGTTGAATTGCTGTACGAGGGGCGGAGGAAGCTTCCAATAAATGGTGAATTTTTGCTGCTTTTTCCTTTTGTGTTTTTATTGTTTTTGTTGTAATCTGTTTATTTGTCTTTGTTGTTTGTGTGACTGTACTACTGTAATGCGTGGGGTTCCTGAATAATGACTGATTTTATGCCTACCATTGTATTCCTGAATTATTGTGGCTTGGCTCTCACTTCATAACCGCAAGGGAAATGCGCAATACCAGTAGGCCTACCAGTAACATTGTTTGCGATTCATGATAATGATGATGATGATGATGATGATGAGGATGATGTATATTATTATTATTATTATTATTATTATTATTATTATTTTATTATTATTATTATTATTA